GACAGAGCAGAGTTTAGGGCTGTTGTACATAGGGTCATTATGAGTTGCAAGCGACTCGACGGCACATAACAACAACAACAACAACAACAACAATTTCCCAAATAAAACCTTTAACCATGACTATAGTTCTATGAAGTCTGTGTAATCATTGCAGTGGGTTTTGGGTGCATGAAAGCAGTGAAATTGATGTTGGGATTAGTAGAAATGCATATAGGAGTGTGGGAGACCATGTCTGCCCTGTTCGAAATTAGTTTTTTACTGTGTATTTGATTCGTGGGGACAGTTCCCCTTTGTGGAGTTAGTAGAAGTCAGACTTGGCTGTCCTCATGCTGCCTACACTTGTTTTACAGGTGGTGAAGTCCACAGAGAATTAAGCTGCAAACCCGAAGGCCACACTTCTTAGGCAGTTGAAATCCACGAGCAAGGGCTCAACAACCTCTTCTGCCATTTACAGCCCATTTGAAGATCAGCAGTGAGTGAATTCTGATTTGACTACAATTAATGAGTGAGTGAGTGAGTGAGTGATTCTACTTTTAGCTCCACAATTTTGGCAAGAAGTATTTCATATACTACCTCATTTACTATTATATTGACTTTTACATACCATAAGGCCACTCAACAGTATTTATTCCTTTACATTATGGTAAGCTATGAAGTATCACAGAAGAATTTAACATGAGGCCGTGATGTGATTCTCAGCAGCTTCTCTTTTTCTTTTAAAATGTGTTTTTTTCTCTCTCTTTCAAGTCACAGAATTTGGTTTTCCATTTTAAAAGAGAATGAAAATGTTATCTGATTCTAAAATGTCATCTTACCCTAGAATTTCCTGTGCAAATTCACCACTCAGAAGTTTCAGGGCGCATGACTGTCAGACACACTGCTGGAGGCAGTGCAATTAGAGGGCTCTTGTTAACTTTTATTAAAATCTGTTTTGCTGTAACTTCTGTTTATTTGGTCTAATCCCTCTGTTGCAAGGATATATTCACAGCCTTGGAGGGAGAGAAAGATTGCATAGACATTTGTGCCAACCACTCCTGGTTTCAATAGGCCTTAAAGCAGTGCTCTGAAGGCTTACTCTGTATGGCAAGTACCAAAGGTGGTACTTCTCTGGAGAAAGATGGGAAATCTCGCATGTCTTTTAAAGCCTTAGAAATCAGCTATGAGTCGCTTCTGACTTAATGACAAGGAGAGAGACTAAAACAATTTGTTGAAGTCCACAGTATTTCTGCCAATGCTTAGTCACTCTCTTCACTTTACTTTCATTTCAGAAAATGGTTCTGACTCTTCTTTCATAGGTCAAAAGAGCCTCTAATTCTCAGAAGAGTCAGCCCCTAACTTTTCCAGGACCAAGACTTCACCTTTATTTGAGCATCAGGGGTATTTTTCAGATGTGATAGGTAGAACAAAGTGGTTAAGTAGCAAGTTCCCAAGTTAGAGTGACTCTTCTACTTATTAATGTAGACATATTATTGATCCACCCTCTGCTTCCATTTTTTGATCTCCAGAATGCGCAAAATGCTAGCAAGTTTCTTAAAGTGTTATTTAAAGTATTAAAGAGATAGCATACATATGAACTGTTCATCTTTGTGCCTACCATGAAGCTAATCTTCAGTGAATGGAAGTTATAAATAGAGGCGTGATGTACTTAAAAAGAATAGGTTGCAAAGCGGGATAATAAAAATCATCTTACAATTTTTTGAGGATAAAATTAGACAAGGAAAAAGTAAAAAAACAAAAGCCAAAACAAAACCCAAACCAAGTTTGTTGCTACTGAGTTAATTGATTGACTTTTGATGTACTCTTGTGACAAGAGTAGAACAACTTCATAGGGTTTCTTGACAATAATCTTTACAGACGCAAACTGCCAGGTCTTTATTCTGCTGGCTCATTTAAAGTTAACAGCCATTAGCAAACTACCTGCACCCGCTGGGGACCTTGCATCAAAGTAACTGGTTCAAATTGTTGCTGTTATATGCCAACAGGTTAGAACTGATTCACAGCTGACCCTCCAGTGGGTTTTCAGAGACTGTAAATCACTTGGGGAGAGATTGCCCATTTCTCCTCCCACAACTCCGCCAAGGAGCAGTTGATGGATTTGAATCATTTGCATTTGGGTTGATAGTGCAACTCCTTACCTACCAAGCTCAATGTAAAGTAAAACCTGGATCCTCTGTAAATATGGTAGGGAAGGAGAGCTAAAATACTGGCATTAATAGTGAGGATGGAAAAGTGGTAGGATTTTTCCACCTATCTTACTAGACGGAAACCTTTTAAGATTTAGGAAAACGCAGCAGTGCCTTTGAGTTCAGGCTGTCCCATCTCTAACTGCATTTTGTTTTCTTTCACCCTCCTTTGTGTCTTCTTATATATCAGCTCTTCTTCTTCGTTTGGATACATTTTATGATTTGCCAAACACATGTGCCAGAGTGTTTCCATGGATACTTCCGGCAGGGTGAGACATTCTGGTTTTCTGGTATTTCCAGGCCCCTGGCCTTTGATGCCATTACTTTAGGAATGTAAAATTGAAGGCTACACCACCAACTATGGTGGGGAGTCTTCTCCCTCTCTGGCTAAAGCAGTTGAAAGACAGTGTAGTCTCAGATATGGTTAATGAGGTTTTGGAGAGTTTGTAAGGCTTTCCTTTCATACTGTGGTACTCAATGATAAAATATTGATGGAATTACCAATCCTCAAGTTGTTGGGGTAGAAGCATGCATGGAGGCCCTATTCACTGTATGGTTCGTTGTTACATGGACTTCAAAGTAGTTTGAATAAATTGCCCTGCAGTTTTGGAGTACATTCTTTACTACCTTATATGCATTGTGTTCACCCTTACGTAACTACAAAGCACAGCACCTGCTTCCTCACATGTCTTCTAACTCTACTTTCTCAAAATGAAATTATTGGGAAAAGGAAGGCTAGTCCCTTATTTTAAGGGTACTCTCTCTCCTTTGAGAACTAAATGAAAATTGAGCTAACAAGTATTGAAATAAATGAGACATAACACATGGAAATCGTAAGTCAAACATAAATTATATAATGTATTATCTTTAGTTTAAAAAATTATTGTGATTTGGGTGAAAGTTTATAGAATGAATCAGTTTTCCATAAAACAATCCATGTACCTTTTTTTATGCCATTGATAGCAGTGCCCACAGTGCACAACACTCATCCTGTTTCCCTGTTTGCCCTTCTTTCCTGTCTCTTCCTGCCTTATGAGCTTTATCCCTGAGGAATTGCTGATCTTTTTTTCCCTCAAATTGTTTTCTTGTTCTAAGTGGCTTATTGTTTGCCCATAGCCATGTCTATTATGTTTAAAAGTTGAGTCATGGAGTTAGTGACATTTCAGAGGTAAAAGATGATTAAGGGATTTCATTGGTTTCTAGCAGATCAGAGAGTCTTCTTTATTATTTTGAGGGTGGGAGTTTTAGCCCATATTTTTCTCTCAAATCTTCAGATTTATGAAAATGAAATTCTTCTTTTCCCTTTGCTAACGAGAGAGAGAGAGAGAGAGAGAGAGAGAGAGACATGCCCTTTCTCCAACTATTGACTTTACCTTTAACATCTGTAGTTTATAGAAATCTTTAGACACTAAGATCAGAAGAGTGTCTTCAAATACATTTAGAGTATTCTTGTGTACAATCTGGGGGAATAAAAGTTGCACAATTAGCCACTCACACAACCTTGAGAAAATTTTCCCCAATGCATATCATTTTATAGTCTGAAGTCCTATCCATATGCAAGAAAGAAGAGCTATCCTAGTGCACCTTATCCTAGTTCTGTGAGCTGTAAATTCCTTCTCCAGGTTAAGGGGCTTATGCATTGCAAAGTAATGCTGAGAAAGAAGAAATCACAATGCTGCCGACTTTGCTAAAGAACTCTTCCAAGTGCTACCTTTTTCTGCTCCTGTTTTATTCTTTGTGGAACTTGCTAGTAAGTGTGACAGTACAGATAGCTGCAGATATTAACAGCTGAGAGAAATTCCCTAATGTGAATTGGGAAGGATTGCTGTGCATAGAACAATTCCTCATCATGATTAAAAGAAGAAATATTTTACCTCCATCTCCTCTGACTCATTACTCTCATCCTTTTCTTCGTTGTCTTTTTCAAGACTTGGCATCCTGACTAGCATGTCAAAGGATGATTGTACTAATGTCAGCTGAAATTCGTATTGCCGAAAGGGATCCACAAAGCTATTGAGAAAAGGATGTAATTACTTAACTGATGAAAAAATGTAATTTAACCACTGTGACTTTTTCTTATTGACTGAAAAACAAAGCAGTTGCCAGTCTCCTCTCACTGCTGGTGACTCATGTTTGTTAGAGTAGAAATGTGCTCCTTAGAGTTTTTAATGGCTGTAGTCTTTTGGAAGTAAATCGCGAGGCCTCTGCTCTGAGACACATCTCAGTAGATTTGACTCATGGTACTTATAGTTAGTAATCAGTACCTAGTCATTTGTACTATCCAAACTAAAGAATTAAAAACTTAAAAAATAGAATTCTTGGAAAAAAAAAACAACAGCATTCTAAAAGGAGAAGCAGGAACTAAATTACAGTTTAAAAGGTCTACACTAGCCCATAGATGATCCGGGAGGCTGGGCTCTCTGAAGAGAAATGTGGCATCAGGATTGGAAGAAGACCTACCAAGAGTCTGCGTTATGGAGATGACACAACCCTGTTTGCTGAAACTAAGGAGGATCTGAAGCATGTGCTGCAGAAGGTCAAGGACTACAGCCTTCAATATGGATTGAAACTCAACATCAAGAAGACAAAGATTCTCACCACTGGGCTGATTGGCAGCATCAGGATAGATGGTGGAGAGAGTGAAATTGTTAACAGCTTCAGTTTCTTTGGCTCCACAATCAACACTCTTGGCACCAGCAGCCAGGAAATGAAAAGGCGTATTGCATTGGGAAAGTCTGCTGTCAGAGACCTCTCCAAATTAATGAAGAACAACGATGACAGTCTGGAGACTAAGGTGTGCCTGATACAGGTCATAGTCTTTGAAATTAATTAAGATGTATCAGAAAGCTGGACAATGACTAGCAATTATAGAAGGTGAATTGATGCCTTTGAGCTGTGGTGCTGGAGAAGAGTATTGAATGTACCATGACTGCTAGGAGAACAAACAGGTTTGTCCTAGAGAGGGTGAAACCGGACTGCTCCTTGGAAGCAAGGATTCTTAAGCTTCGTCTGACATACTTTAGACATGTTGCAAGGCAGGACCAGTCCTTAGAGAGGTATGTCATGCTTGGGAGAGTGGAGGGACAGCACAAGAGAGGAAGACCCTCTATGAGGTGGATTGCTTTAGTGACTGGGGTAATGAGGGTAGGTGTGTCAGACAATATGATTGACAAAAAATAGAGCAGGGTTTATGGTTGTTGTATATAAGGGTCACTATCAGACACAGGTGCCTCAACGGCACATAAAATTTTGGTCATTTGTGATAGCAAAAGTTGGTTGTTGTTGTTATGTACCATCGAGTCGTTTGCGACTCATAGCAACCCTATGTACAACAGCCCTAAACCGTACTCTATCCTGTGCCAATCTCATTGCCTCTGACACACCCATCCCGATTACCCCAGTCACTGAATCAATCCACCTCACA